CACAAGAGGTAGTCCAGCAGCAGCTAGAGTCTCGGAATCAAAGCTAGCAAGGACTCGCTGACGAACTAATTCCGCTTCCGAACCAAATCCTTCTACCCAAAGTCCTCGGGAAATACGGTTTTCCCATGCGACAACCTTAGCTCGAACCGTTCTCGTTTGTTTTGTGAGCGCATTGCCAACAGTAACAAAAGCTTGAGCAATATGGGGAGGATCTTTTGCTGCTACTGCAACTCCTGATCGAATAACTTTATTGTGTGCTTCTTCGAGAGCACTTGCAAGGGACGTATCTGTTCCAGCTATCGCCCCTGCGTGCTGAAAGGCTTTTGACAACACCTGAGATACGAGAAGCAAGTTGGCAAACTAAATGAGGGGAACTATTGCAATTGGATACTCCCATGTAAGTGGCCATCGTCTCACTTACAGCATTTGCATCCGACTTTGAATCGACAGAGACAACGGAAACATCGTACATCTCGATGAATGCAGCATCAGATTTGACTTCAGCAGCTGTTGCATCGAAGAGGCTTTTAGCTTCTCCCTTCAGTCGAAGACTCTCGGATTCACCAATTTCGCCATGAATACAAAGTATGAGCAACTGCTTGGATGATGAATCGAGGCTCAATCGCGCTCTGAACAAGGCTGTTATTGTCCTAGCATGTCTCGAATTACTCCATCCTGCTTCCACATCTCCATGTGTGATACCATCCACTAGAATTGCATCGGACACAACCGAACTAGTGGATAAAGCACTGCCCTCAGCGACCGATGTTCCACTGAGGGTGGCTCCACGACAGACTAGGCAGGGAGGATCTGTCGATTCCAGACAAAGGATCTCATTTGAATCAGTCAAGAAGGACTTCGTGTCAGGGCTGAAAACAATAGACACAACACCCTGAGACGTTGTTTTCGCATCCGATGTTTTCAGACGGAGGCTTCCTGATGCATCCATCAACGTGCTCCTACCCGAACATGACGCAAGCACAGCGAGCAGGCGAGGAAGAATTCTCATTGTACCTTAATCCAAGTCTGTTATAATTTATTGTCGGTAGTGGTAAGTTTCAGGTTTCGGATCTATCGTGACACCAATTATGTGCTGAACTGGTACAGATACTATACCGGTACTATACGAGGGTTTCCAAGTTCCAAATGGAAACCATCAGTTTCATGAAATTTCAAGTTTGTGTTGATGACCTTTACTGGACGGTTGGGCAGACCAAGAGTATGGCAGACGTGAGAGCCACTTTTCGCGCGGTCGAATCGCGCCGGCTAAGAATTTATTCGTCAGGACCCACCGCAAGTTTTCTCAAACGCGCGATTTGGATGCGTTGAATTTGCACGTACACGTGTACCCCTGTGAGGGGGTTAGTCTTTTGGTGCCATTGCTTTGAAACCCTCAAATCGATCGAGAACCCGAAAACAAACAGCAGAAAAATTTCGTTGCGATTTTGGTCGCGTTCCGATCAATATTGGCAAAGAAACATCTAAATTATTTAAGAGCGGTATTGACAGGGCCGCGTAATCGGTCTATATCCCAAACGATTTGTTTCCTCAATGACTTTTTTCAAACGATTCTTTCTCTAGCCAAACAATTTGTTTGGTCGCTAAACGATTTTTTCTCTCTCCAAACTGAAACGGCCCATAGAACAGGCCCAAGGTATTGGGACTGTGGAAGCTCCTTCGGTTGGGTACAGAACTAGACCTTAGTCAAAAGGTCCATGTAAGCACTTTGAAGTGCATCTCTATAGACATCCACAATGTGAAGGTTGGGTTACTATTCGAATAGCCAAAGGCTTTTACTGAAGAGATACACTCTGCAGAGTGGCAGCAAACTATTGCTATTACATTTGCTACGTATTTGACTTTGTTGCATCTTGATTGAAGCGTTTGAAGTGAAAATTCAGCACTATGACTTCTCTTGCAACTGACTCACCATTTACCTACATTGAAAACAATAGGGACATTCTCACTGAGATTGTATTCCATCTTCCTGGCAAGGCAGCAATTTGGAACCTTTTTGCAGGATGTACATCTCCTTCAACAATCTCTGCGCTCAATGGGAAATCACTGGCAACGGAGCTGGTATTGCCAACCTCAAGTTCTTGCTCTTTTGACTACATCTTGGCGGTCAAGCCTTGAACAAATGGAATATGATTGAAACGAGTGTGACCAATTGCACTAGCGCGCAATTCAAGAATTTTGTTGACAGTTTTATCACGAAGATGTCAGCTGGCACAAACCCAAGGAACAGCGCAAGCCGTTTTCTGAAATCGATCACCTGCAGGAAGTCTATGAAACCATTGAAGACCCCAACGTCACCTTGCAAATGGTCAAAACTTACATGCAAGCTACCAAGATTTTATCAGACAATGTCCACCTTTCAAGACAACATTCTCGTAACGAATCTGGAAGTCCCAGTTCTACAGTATCTCGCACTGATTCCAGCCAGCATTCTCGTTGAGGACGTGGACGTGGACGCGGAAGTTACAATAATCGTCTAACCACTTCCAATCCACCCTATCCAAGCTATCAGAATCAATCAAGGAACTCAGAACCAAGGATATCGCTATCCTCCAAGATCTCAAGGCAAATATCAAGGACGGTCTACTGGAAACAATTCTCAAACCCAAAGACGCTTTGGGCAACAGAATCATCAAGCAAATCGACCTCCAAACTGTTGGGATATGACAAAATATGAGTTTTTATGTTCCAAACGAAACTATTCAAGTACAAGGTTTTCGACACGTGCGATCGGAATTTGATCGTGCAAGATGTCGGGATTCGACGCAAGTATGCCGGACGCAAGTCTGTCGGACAATCTGTATCCACACAA